TAAATTAAAAGTCAAGCAGTTTTACATTTGCAATGGATGCTTAAGCAGGTCTAAGTTCTCAGCTATTATTCTCAAACCCTTTTAACAAAGTGTGGTTGTTTCTAACATCCCCGTGGTGTAAGCTAAAGATACACGTAAACTAAACAAAATGGAGAACACTGATAGAACATTATACAGAAAAATATTATGTAGAAGCCTTAAATTCTTCTGATGGCTGAAGTTTGATATGATGGCAAGACCAGGAGAAAGCCAGTCAAGGCAGCTGTTTTCCTTTTCAGTTTGGGACAGTCCATGTTCTCTAACATTTGGTAGTTTCCATAGATATTCCTATTTTTTTATTGGACTCTATACCCAGAGGTTTTTGCCACTCTTTTCTTTTCCATTATATACCCACAGCTGAGTGAGTCAGAGGCAGCTTCTTGCTTCTGCAGTGCCTTTGAAGTCCCATCATGTTTGTGCGCCGTGTCCTCTAGCAGTAATTCCAGTTCAAAATTTTTTGTGGGTTCCTGTTGACAACGTACGTGTACCGCCTACAAGGGCGGCAGCCGAGCTTTGGAAGCCCATCAGGAGCTGCCAGCAGGTTCCAGTAGCCTGTCGGAGACTGTGATTGAGGAGGTGGAAACTTCCTCAGAAGAGATTAAGGATTCCATAGATCTCATTACATTACAACTTCCAAGAGAGTAGACCACCATTTTCAATTCAGATTTTGTCTACCAAAACAGATTTACTTCTCCCAGTCTAGAAAACCTCCTTTGGCAATTTCCTGTGCTGACTAGGTTTTGGAGACTTGTATACATGTCCCTAGTCATTCAATTACTTGAGGCCTCATGATGAATAAAAGACTGAATGGCTGTCAAATTTCCTGTCTCCACATGAAATCTCTATCTGGTAGTTCAAATACCATTTGCAGGCATGCTGGTTTAGTTCTGGAAATCAAGGTTATAGTCTTCATAACTGTAGCATCCTTTAGAAAAACTGGTTGTGTGTTTCTTGTATCAAACAACCTGGTTTTATGCGTGCGCACACATGTGTGTGTGTGTCCCCATTTGTAACATTACTATGTTCATACTTTTTATGTTTTTACCTGTTCTAAAGCAGTCAAGTCTTCAGCCTGCTTTTTAAACGTGAAGAAAATCAATTTATATTCATTAACGTGCCAAAAATATTAAGTAACTTGTAAAATAACCTTTCAGAAATAAATATTATGCAGTTCACTGAAGTTTGGACGAGGAGTCAAAGGTAGAACCAAGACTTCATGTGTGCTGTCTCCAAATGCATGATGCTTGCCATAAAGTCAAACTTGAAAACGTTTTCCTACCTCATCTGTTGTAGAAAAATGAACTTGATTAAAATAAAATGTATGCGTGACTAATGGAGTCACTTCCATGAAAGCAATAGAGGATCCTAGAAAGAAGTTAGTAAAGCTGAAATTATGCGGAAGGCTGTTCATCTTGGCGCTCTTCGACTGCCTCCCACCCTCTTGTTTTATCTGCCTGCCCCTGTCCGTTGTTACTGGTCCTCTGGTATTGACAACAGGGGTGGTAGGGAATGAGATTTATCCCCTCGTCCCTTGGTAAGGGGCCTCTCTTATTTGTGGGATATGCAGGAAAAAATTCCCTTGGAGAGCTGTAATTCTAGGATTTTGCAGTTTTGGAAGCTGTTCCCAGGAGGCTTCTGCCCCGCTCCTGGCTATTTATAACCGGGGGATTTGGCACCCCGATAAGTTATGTCACCTTAATGAACCTGGCGGTGAAGCTAACTAGAACTGCGTCTGGCTCGGTGAACGTGCTTGTGTAGTGTGCAGGAGTTATTGAAAGGTAGGGAAACATTTCTGTTCCTCTTACAGACGTCTAGTTTAAGTTTTTGCAGTATCTGTCGTTCAACCGGAAAGCCCTAGCAATAGCGACGTCTTTCATTATGCAAGTATATACAGGCAGAAATAATGGCAATGATTTAATTTATTATTAAATTGTAATTGGTTATTTAGTTTTACAGTTACCTGATCAAAGGCAGAAATGATTAACGCCCGTTCGTGCCTTCCTGGGCCCGGCCCCGCTGAGGCGCGGC